CCGATTTTGTTATGGCCAGTTTCCACCCACTTGCTAGGTCACACAGTACTATCAAATCACATAAAGCCGGCCATCGTATCTCTTCAAAACTGCTGGACAGCAAAATATACTTGGAAGTGAATGACTGTCAATGACAGCTAACAGACACCTATGTTGACAAGCATCATGTTGAGTGATGTGGTACAGGGAAAGCCATCCCCAGCCAGAAATATCAAGCAAGGCCATTTATGTTCTCTACAAAAATTAAAGTACATCCGGACCACTGATGGCAATGGCATTGCAGAGGCTTGAATCTGCAATTAGGCAGTTGTGCCACTAGGGAGCCACTTCCGTTGCCTTTACACACTCTCAAAAACTACAGTACATACTTGCTTCTCCTCCCCTAGAAGAGCGCAGTAACAAGGAAAAGTGGAATAGTGACTTTGCCATACCACCGAGGCTTCTCCTGTTTCAATTATCATTAAAAGGACCATCTGGTTTTCCCATAAGAGACCAGGCTCTAAAAGGCAACCTCCATTTACACGGTTGGCTGTTAACACGTCAGGATTTTGGGGAAGCGTGGCCAGTGGCTCTGGAAGGACGAAACGCTCTCAGGAAGCCATTGGCTGACCGCACATTTCGCTAGTGTGCCCGCAATGGCGTGCGAGCCAGCCTTTTTGCACTCTGCCTTTTCAGACGAAGAGAAGCCGCATGTGGCGTACTTGTCCCATCTAAGACATCAGTCTCATCTCTCCTTTGACACTAAACTTCACCTTCCTCCCTACTCAACTTATGCAAAGACACGGACAGGTCAGAGGAAAGCAATATGGCGGAGCCTGCGCATAGATGAGCTTCTGGTTGTGTTATGTATCTTCAGATTTTCATATGGCCTTTTGGATTTTAGTGGTGAACCAACGAAGATGGGAGAAGGCAGAGGTTTGCGAGTTAGTCTGCTTGGCTATGAGGTTGAGGCTTTGAAAGGATATTACCTCACGTGGCAAGCTCTAAGCAGGGTTTCTTGTGTGTCGTGATGGCGAATCAAACCTCACACAGGTCTCCCCACAAATGTCTCACAGATGTTGGGGTTAGCTGGCAAGCACTTTTCCTGTTTGTCCCAGCTTTCGCAGGAAAAACAAATCACAGTTTATCCAAAGTGTTCAGGGAAAATAAACAAATTTGCAAGTATATGTCAAACCAAGAATGTCCACTCCCTGGGAGACGTCTATTTGTGCAGAGAAAGTGCAATGAAAGGGAGAAAGCTCCATGGTCCATGAGGTAAAAGGAAGAAGCTTGGGTGAGATGATGCTTCAAGATGCCTTTGGATGTGCACCCGGAACATTAGGCAGGCAGCCACATTTCAAAAGGCTTGTGAGGTTGTTTATCAAAATTTGTACCAAAAAATGGCACCAAAAATTTTATTATTGTCAGCTTTTCAAATACTCTGTTGGTTACTTTGGGTTCAGATTGTAGCAAAGTAAACATCAGCCTCATGCAGTAGAGTCCTAATAGGTCTGAAATCTCCAGGGACTGACATGGATCTTCCGCAGACAAGCCCAATACCCTTGATACCTGTTGGAGATTTGTTTAGCTAGTGTGGAAGCAAGTGTTGGTGCTTTTTGCTTCGATCCAAGTCTTGCCTCAGCGCCAGCACTTGCAGCTGTTCCTGAATCAGCAGTTCAGAGCAGAAAATCAGGCACATTTGATTCCTCTGTGAGGGTCTCGAGCTGTGTGTTCGCAGTGGCTGACCTAGCACAACCCCCAGCTGCTGTGTTTCTCTGTGGGAGACACTATACCAAGGCTTATTAAAAAATTAAGTCATTTGTTATTTATCTGGCTGTCTTGCTTCTTTTTCTCTTTTTCATTTTCTTTTTTTCCCACAAAGTTTTTTCTCAGAATGGATGTGAGAAAACTGCTTCTAACTGGGTCATTTGCGGAGGCATAGCAGAACCTGCTAGATGCACTTTAGAAGGCCTGGTCAATTGGCTCAGTTGGGGCAACACTGAAGTGTCCAAATGGATCCTTCTCATGTAGGTTGAAAGAGAGCTGGTGGGAGCTCTAGTGGAGGCTGGGAGCGAGAGGGGGGTCAGACAGTTGAGGAAAAGCTGTGCGGGAGGCCAGCCCCTATGGCTTGGAGAGTACCCTGCTTTGGATTGCTTTTATCTTAAGTGGTGATTTACAAACAAAATCTTGACTCCACAGACAAAGGGGGTTTGGCTGTGTTTCTATGTATGTTTGTCTGTATTGGGCGGGTGGTGTGTTGGGAGGGGGTGGGGGGTCTGCGAGGAACCCCTCCCACCCAAACTGCACAGCTGGTCTGAATTACATCTTGGAAGCAATTGTCAAGCCATCCCAGGCCGACTTTGTTTTCAGGAGTGAACGCTGGGGGATATTTGCTTATAATTAACTTCAAAACATTCAGTTGCGCAGAGGCGGACCGTAGGGGCCACGGCGGGCGCGCGCAGAGTTCGCACCGTGTTCATGCATGGCTAGGAGAGGGTTTTGTCTTTGTGTCGGCTGTGTGTCGGAGGTCTGAAGGATAGAAAAATAATTCTGGTGACATTGCAAAATAGAAAGCATGCAATCATATTGGTGGGTCTGGTATGCAAGCCTGAGACAAGAGCAACAAACCATAAGGAACTGTCTTCGCCTGTGTTTGTGATCATTCCATGATTTATTGCATAATGAATCCAGGTCCACGAAGTGTTTTGTGAACCCCACTCGTGCCACCATGTCGTAATCAAGCAATGTAGCATGATTGTTTTTGTTCTCAGTAGCCTTTTCTCACTAACTGAGCAAGTCTCAACAAGCTCGGAACATTTAGCTTATTCTTCCACCTCCTTTTTTACTTTTTTACTACCTCCCCTCGCATTCTTGCAACTTGTGGTTTCTGACGATTTATTGTACATCATTTGTTTTATTGGTTTATTTTCCCCCGTGCGTTGCTTATGTTAGACCTTGCTTTGGCTGCTGTGTTGTGGTTTAGCAGTGATGTCACAGGGCTGAAATGCTGTCCACAGGGAGACTTCCTCTCCCCGCCTCTGGGCAGCCTTCCCCCCAGACCGGGGGGGTCTCCTGGTGTCTGGATTTATTTACTCTCCCTAACAACCAAATCAAAATAATGACAACTCCATTTGGGGGAGGCTGTACAGTGGGAGACAGAGCAATTATATAACAAGAGTTTGGAGGTGTTGTTGTTGGTGGTGGTGGTTGTAGTATGAAGGCATTTTAGGACTTTATGAGTTCATCGTAAAAACGTTTGGTAAATGCTAAGAGGCACACTGAAAAAGTGCTACCTATGCTTACTCCAGTGGGAATAATAGGAGCTGGTGTAGTCACATTGGGCAAACCTCTGGCTTTCACCTTGTCCTGACCTTCAACCTGCCCGTGGTACATCTCCACACATCAGTCTCATCAACAGATCTTTGAGGCAGATACCACCGGTTTTCTCTGGGAAGTTTCCACAGGAGCTCAGATTACTCATATCCAGTTTCATTGAATCAGTGGAAACAGCAAAAACTAGGTGTCCTTGTGTCATGTCATGGAGCATAGGTTTCTGTGTCCTTTGTGTATTTTCAAGAACCACTGAAAAAGACAATACATTAATCTGATTTTGTTAAGTGGCAATAGAGAGCCATCTAGACTTTCCTCAAGGCTGCTCACTGATCGCACCTTTTTCTTTTGCTTCCTGTTCCACTTTCTTCAAAACACAGATTCTAACTATGATAGCACCAACTCTGCCCTTATCTAAACCACAAACACATCATGACTGTGCGCCAATCATAGCAAACAGCACCATGACCTCTCTGGGACTATCTCTGAACTCATATTGCTTTGTTTCAATGTGAACGACCTTGTCTTGTGGATGTCGTAAGTTGTCCACCTTCCAAGTCGCAGTGTTTTTTGATTGGGGCTTTAGCACACAACTGCAAGCTAATTTTGATGGAATGAGAAATCTAAAAAACACGACAGTCAGAGAGGAGTGTGGAAGCATTTATAGCTTATGAGTCTGCATCTGGTTCATTTGGTCCCAAGGTCTACATTTATCAAAGGAGAGAGAGAGAGAGAGAGAGAGAGAGAGAGAGAGAGAGAGAGAGAGAGAGAGAGAGAGAGGCGGGGGAGGTGGGAGAGAACAGGGGGAAAAGAATGAATTCAGGAATTCTGATTCTAGTTTTGGAAGGCAGATCAAAAGCTCTCAAGGCCATGTCCTGCCAGATGCTAACTTGCTTAGCATTCCGTACGTAATTTCCAAAAAAAGCCATGATGCGTTCCTTCGCAACTTCTTGGTGACAATTCATAATGGGAGGAACTAACCTATTGCTGCACTTTTTTGCAGAATCTGGAGATTTGAGGATGTCATGTCAGAACATGCACATTTACCTTGAACTCTAGCTGGTTAGGTCCTCCCTTAATGGGGCTTGTTTTAAACCCTTTATATTCTAAGTTTATTTTTCAGTTAGTAACCTTTTAAATCTTAGAGTTATGGCATACTGAGGCTTATTAGTAATTTAATGGACAATGACGCAAACCAGCTGATCTGTTTTTCAGTCATAGAGCTGCATAATAAATGCTTAATTTGCATAATTTGTTTCAGTATGATATAGTTGTGTCCTGATTTATTATGTTTTTCTACAGCGACAGTAATAAGTGGCTTAAAAAAATGTGCCTTACATTAATGTCAGTCTTTCCATTTTCCATTAATAGAGCATTCAACACTACAAAAAACACATTCTTGTTATGCTTTATAGTATTTTCATCTACCCAAAATTTAATGTTAGCTCCAAGCTAACATATCATACATAGCTATATATCATGCATTAGTCACACATTTATGATGTAATGATACACTATGATTAGTATGATGCAATATGATTCATTGCGATACAGTTTACTGCAATATGTTGTATTGGTACATCCCTTCTATGTAACATATGTAGTTATGAGAGTGAGCAACTGAAGTCTGAATCCACCAATGAGCCTTAGAGTTTAAGGAGTTAACTTGTTGCTCTTTTGTCCCCTCCCAGACCTGTCAGTCCAAGGTGTTTGACCTTTCTGATGGTGTTTCCCAGTATGCTTGGTTTCCCTGCCGTGAGGCCCAGCAGGTGACCTGGTACCGCCGATATTGGCTGAAGGTGAGTTTGACATCCTTCACTCGCTTTACATGATAACAGTATTGTATCTTTCCAATATTATACCTATCTTCCTGTGTCAAGCATGTACATAAATGCTATGTACATAACATAGCCAGCAACTATAGGCAAGGGTGAACTTGAAAATCATTGCTTTGTATTTATTCATTCTATTGAATTCATTGTTATATAGCGCTGTCTAGCAGTGATGAATGCATTATTGTGATACCCCCCCTATGCAGGCCTACTTCTCCCACCCCATGGTAGCTGCAGCAGTGATCATCTATTTGGCAGCAGATGGGACAAGCTTTCTTGACCAGAGCCAGTGCAACATCACTGTGCAGTTGGTGGACACGAAGGAGAAGATCCACAACCTAGGTGTGTGAAGAACTAATCTAAATAGAGGCAAATACGTAACATTGAGATGTTGTATTTGAGTGTTATGGACGCTTTCTTGATAGCTTATCAAAGGCTAGCTTGCCTAAGAAATATAGAGAGATTGGTTGGTTTCTTCTGGGCAACTTTTTAGACTTTTGGGACTCTTGATTCCTCAGTTTCTCACTAATTTTCTTATTTTTATACCCTTCTAAAGCAGGCTTTGGGAATCAGGGGTTGCAATGTCTACAATGCAAATATAACCATTTTATTTAGTGTCTAAAATGATGGTCTATATGAATCCTGAGTTTTTACATGTAATGTTTATGATGGTAAAAATAATAATAAAACAATAAATCTGGAAAAAAATAATTTTCTTTGGAAACTGTTTTGCTTTACGATGCCCTTCACATACCCCTCTGCCATAAACATATTTAATAAAAATAAATAAATAAATTGGCCAAAACTTCACCTCAAAAGTATTGCAAAACAAAGTTTCAGACACCTGGAAGTTTATTCATAACTGTTCCATGTAACTATTATCATGTGATGTGGCTTTTAGAGGCATTACACACTTTGGACATCTGGTTCTTATCACCACCACTGTGAACAATTCTGACTCCATTTCTTTCCCATCAAACCACTCTGAATGACATTGTTAACATTATAACCATGTAATTTTGCAGAACATTAGAAAAAAAATGGTCAGAATTCCTCTTTAATTGTTGATAATTGTTGATATTGGAGAACACTTAGTGAAGGCCTACTGATAAATGAATAAATCTAAATGAAACATAGATATCAATCCATTCTGCCTTCCCCCCAGGTGATTGGCGCCTGAGCTGCCGCAACAACCCCCTAGTGATCCCCGTGAACCACGACCTCAGCATGGCATTCTACCACACCAGATCCATCCTGCTGATCTTTCGATCTGAGCTGGTGGCCATCTCAGGTGTGGCCCTGCGCTCCTTCCAGTTCTTCGACCCCATCACTATCAGCGGCTGCCAGAGCAATGAAATTTACAACCCTATGGGCCAAAGGTGAGCTAAGAACTTAGCTTTCTGGCTTCCTTCTTAGCCAGCTAGCAAAAGAAGCCCTCCCACCCAAAAGTTCCTCCCATCAAGATACCTCAACAGAAGGGAGTTTTCCTAGTCTTTAAACCTGAATATCTCAACCACAGGACTATTGTTCCACCACTATGGGAGGTTATTAGGCACATTTACAACAGATGCAGCAATAGTGATGTTTTTCAATTGACAAAGTTTCCCTTTAAGTGAATTAACATTATACAGTTGAGTGCAAAAATTTGGACCCCTGTCAAATTACGTTTTGTTGATTTTATTAGTGATTTATTATTTTATAATATATTAAAACTACCAAATAAATGCAAATTTTGCCCCTATGCCATATATGAAAGTGCCATATTCAGGTTTATTTTTTTTTTAGTTAAAGCTGGGATATCGTTCCTTCTTGCTACATCTTGGTCCGGGTGAATGCCGTACTTCTCTGTAAATTATATTGCAGTAGTAATTTGCAAATGGAAAGAGCCACTTCTAATATTGACAATGGTGATTTGCATCAGTCGGAAAGAGCGCTTTATAGAGTGGTTCAGTGGCATGATTATAATGCATGCACGCACACACATATGCACGTACTCATTACCCAAATATGATCTACATCCCTGTTTTGCTGTTTTTTTGGCCTCTGGGCTGCTTTGTATCATGCCTGAAGGTTGTGGTGGACTTACCAGCGGTAGAGCATTTCCCGTAATCCTTCTACCTCTTCAAAACACCACGTCCCCTATTCCCAGTGCTGTTAACTAACAGGGGTCATTATAACTGGCGTTTATGCTCCATCCCTTGTTTTCAGCGTTTGATGCCTTTCAAACAAACGCGCTGGCATTCCCGTTACATATTTGGATGTGGGGGAGGAATGTGATTTGTTCATTTCCCCACTGCTTTTTGTTTTGGTGCTTGGCTTCAGAGAAGTTTTTCTTTAAGAGAATAAGCACATAACAATAATGGGTGTGCTTCTCAGCTAATCAGAATGGTTCTAAGCAGCACTTCCTCCATCAAGCAAACAAAAAACTGCTCAAAACAAACCTGCAGTGAGAACAATGGTGATAGTAAATTACTCAAAATTATTAGACTAAGAAACTCTGGAAGTGTTAGAGATTAAACAGAACAGTATTTGTGATAGAAAACACTATAGAGAATAACTGGTGATTAGATTGACCACCATGTAGCTTGGCAAAGTATTTCAACTGTTTAAAGCCATCAATGCTATATATATATATATATGTATATATATATATATATATATATATATATATAGAGAGAGAGAGAGAGAGAGAGAGAGAGTCTATATAAGTGTATATATTGTATGTAAAATGCATATGGGACATATTATTACAAATAAATATAATTACAAACGGTTTTCAGT